TTTAGCGAGAAAGCTACACGTCGGACTCCAGGTTGTCGCTGCTAGTGAATGGTTACAAATAAGAAACAAAGAGTCGCGTTTTCGGCAGATTTTCTGTTCGAGAGATGTGACCCTAAAAGGTTAATGACAAGGGCATGTCATGAATGATAACAGCCGGACTTCAGTCCATCTTGCCAATCCAATAAACTCTATTGTCCAGTACCGCCATGGTCAAGGGTGGGCACAGTGTCTTCGACTAGACATGTGGTTATCTCTTTGACCAAACTGACCACAATATTTACACAAACATAATCCTGTTAATTTTATTATACGAACTGAAGGATTTAACGTATTTCGAGCGGGCAGTGCCAGGGGTCGTAGCCTCACTTTGCTTTTCACCATTATCAAAAATATGATTGATATCGCCCTCTCGTCTCAATCATTGCTGAGATGACAAAAATTAATTAGCTGTCTTGGTCTTGGTGTTTTGACTGCTGTTTGGCTGATTGCTCTTGCTTTCGTCTGTGGAGATTTCAGAAATTGATGACGAATTCTTTATCCTTTCACAATCAGAGTGCCCATGGCGACCCTGATGCCAACTGGACTATGCGCCTGGGTTGTAACCTTTAAATTGATTTTCCTGCGGCTCTGAAACGTGAAGGCTTTTGAATTTGAACACGGTATCAATTAAACAGATCATTTCGACCTGAATTAAACCGTCGGGAAGGCATTGGCTTTGAAGATAAGTGACTTGTGCTATTTCTGGGATATTGTCAACGGGGTACGTTTGAGTCACAATGAGTCTAAGCCATTGTTATTGGTAAAACATCACAGAAAGATCCGTGTTAAAAGATGAACGACAATGTCAGTTTGTCTCGTAAGGTCGTGACAGTTGTATGTTGTATGTCTGCTGGAGATATGTGATTATTATTAAGAGTGAGTCGCTTCAGACAATGGTGTATTACATGTATTAGTGTATCCGACAATAGTGGTATTACTGCAGTGGGGCGAGCTTCTCTATATATACTATGGTACTGGATCATGTCACGGAGGACCTGCAGATAAGAACAGGCCTGTCTGGCACGCCTCACAATGGTAAATAGTTGCACTGTTTATGTGGAATCAAAAACATTACTTACTGTATTAGCTCTGTGTGGCTACCTTAACAGCGATCAATATATCATATACAAACATCGTATCACTCGAGTCATTACCCAATTGTGCAATGTGAGGCAACGTCTGACTTGGCCCTCCATGTTTGCCAGAGCAGACAAATCCCCTGCTTTCAGCGCTAAGTGAGCAGCTCGGCATCCTTCGCTCTACATCTATTGTGTGGGTCACATGCGGTTCAATCCTTCCGTTGATTGCTGCCTTTGACGGACAACACAGCAACTAAAGTTCGTGCAGTTGATTCGGGAACTCCAATTCCGGAAAGATCATCAATCGAGACTTCCACAACCGCCATCTTGAAATTTGGGGCTTTGGCACGTTTCATCTTTTGATTGGGGTCATGGCCTCAAAGGGGAGGTCATATGGCCCCAACAATTAAGATGATGATAAAATATGTGATGGATGATAGTGCCGTCAATTTATCGTACTCACGCTGTGAAAAATGTGAATTTCATACATCAATGATGAGTGAAAGTATAGATGATGTGACATCATGGTCCTTCTATCCCCTGTGTTGTAGGATGCTGAACTGATGATAGTGTGATGTGGGGGAGATTGTGGTTGAAGTGGTCCGACTGGTTTATACGCGGTTGTTACAGAGTGCTTGTGGTAACACACATGAATGAGTGCATGTAGTTACAAAATGCTATTTAATGCATGCTTGTGGTCAGGTTATGCATTGGCGGTTAACCTGAAAGAGGTTGTGGTTTCATACTGTCGATTAAAGAGTGTTTGTTGTCCCACGCCGTTGGTGAAGCTTTTAAGTGAGTGCATGTTGTTTTGAAAACCAGTGCAGCACGAACGCCATCCTTGTTCGATGACTACCAAGCTAGAAATATTTGAACATTGTTTGTAGTTCTACAGTTTGTTGAATATTGCTTGTGGTCCCACAATAATGGTTGAAGATTGATTGTAATTCCACACTTTTGGTTAAAGATTGTGATTCCATATTGTTTGTTAAAGGTTGTAATCCCATATTGTTGGTTAAAGATTGTGATCCCATATTGTTGGTTAAAGATTGTGATTCTACATTGTTGGTTAAAGATTGTGATTTCACACGGTCGGTTAAAGATTGTGATCCCATATTGTTGGTTAAAGATTGTGATTCTACATTGTTGGTTAAAGATTGTGATCCCATATTGTTGGTTAAAGATGGTGATTCCACACGGTTGGTCAAAGATTGGTCTACACGGTATGCCGAAGATTGCTTGTGGTTCTACAAAGTCGGTTTAATATTTCCTGCTTTTCTCAATGCTGGTGTCATTTCACACTATTGATTATTGACTGTGTGTGCTCCTCACTGATGGTTGAAGATTGCTTATGGTTCTACACAGTTGCTTGGCCATTGATTGTAATTCCACCCTGTTGACTGGAGATTGATTCCACACTGTTGATAGAAGAATGTTTATCGTTCTACACGGGCTGTTAAAGATTGCTTGTGGTTCAACAATGTTGGTTGGAGATTGTGATTCCACACTGTTGGTTGAAGATTGCTTGTTGCCCTACACTGTTGGTTGAAGATTGATTCCACGCTTCTGTTTGAAGATGGTTGTGGTTCAACAGTGGGTGGTATTTTGCAATTAGGTTCTCATTGTTAGCTGAAACGCACATGTAGTTCTACAGTTTTGGTTGAACATTGCCTGTGATTTTAGCCGGTCTGTCTCAGAGTGGACATTTGTTCGGTGGTTAAGGGGAAAATTGGGTTTAAACGCTTCTGTGTACAGTATTTCAGTGACGTTATGCACAGGTAAGATAAGCGTGTAGCCCATGTCCTGGCCTGGTGTTGACAGGCCACGGGTTAGAAACTAACGAAACTGGCAGGTTACGATACAACTGCAGTTTGATATGGCCACATAGAGCATTAGGCACTGTGGCCTATGTACAAATGTTCAATCAAAGTCAAATTACATTGGTCAGATACATAAATGCAGAAAAATACAGACAACAAACATCAGTCGTTATATGTTTATTCGTAATACCGGGATGCCGAAACCATTTTGAATTTTCGATAGTTTGTTTCTCGAGTACATGGGTATTCATTTGTATGTGTCGGAAATTGTTGTATCATTTATATCGTGAGTATGGTAAGATATGGTATGAGTGAGTAGTGAGTGAGTATGGTGTTAAGCCGCTTTTAGCAATACTCCAGTAATATCACGGCGGGGGTCACAAGAAATGGGCTTCACACATTGTACCAATGTCGGGAATCGAACCCGGGTCTTCGGCGTGACGTGGTATGGTATGGGTGGTATGGTATGGTATGGTATAGTATGGGTGGTATTTGTACAACTTGTTTTTAATGTGTCTTGCCTATTTGCAATGCTATTTACGAACAAATCTCGAGACATTTATATACAATTTTGCAGTGTACATTTTGGTTGGTTTACACCACACTCAGCAATATTCCAGCCACAATTCTATGATCCACACTGTCGGAGAAAGATGACACGCTATCAACCAAGTCACCAAGTCATCCATTGCTACCAGCAATGGTTCCAATTCAAACCTAGAGTTCCTGCGGCGCACAGCAACCCATGCTTGTCCTAAGAAGTGACGGAATTGATTAGATCGTTATTTGTAACATCAATCACCGGTCCATACTCGATTATAATTTACATGCCGCCGTCATAGAGCTGATAATCAGCCAGAACATGGTGGCGAGCTTCTGGTGTAAGGGAGACAACCCCATGCCGTAAACGAAATTAGATCAAATGACATGCCGTCAGTGAATTCGCCAACTGATTTGCCTTGTGTGATATACACTGGTCGCTGACACACAACTACCAATATTTCTATGAAGTTTATGTCCTTCAAGCCCCTTTCAAACGCATATTGAAGATCATCACGACTGTACACTCCTCAGTTCCCGAACAGTCTTAAAGTTTAAATTGAAAATATATTATTTCAGGGTTTCAGGGTTTTGTCCCTGGCACTGTACTCTAAATCTAGCATCCTTGGCCACAAAATAGGAGTTTGAATCAATAAGCATGTGGTGTAACATACATGTCAATCATATATTAAAAAAAGATCTGGGCCCTGTTCCACAAAACGATATCAGCGCAAACACGGTCGTAATTCCCTAACTTTAACATAGACTTACGACAGTCGGTACCGCTAAGATCGCTTTGAGGGGGTGCTGCTGTTATTATCATTATTGATTCAAAGGTCTGAGGTTGGTACCTGGCATGACAACTCCAATCTTTTGTTACATCAAGTCTGATATAGTCCCAATTTGATAAAACATGTCCATTATCCGTGCCAGTGCCAACAATCAAATATCGAATACATATCAATTTCAAAGTTGAGGAGAATTACGATTAAAAACGACTTTTTAAGGCAGTAATGCAATATTTGTACTGATTTGGGTTTTTTTCCTGACACTGACCAAGAGTAAGTTTTTTTTTTATAATTGAAGAATCACCATCTTTAAATTTGATTCATTTTTCTTCTGGACAATTTCACAATTACAGGTTTCCTTTCATCCTGCAGTGAAGAACAAAGCGTGGTTTATTTCACGATAAAATATTGATGACGACATATATTTTGCTACAGCTACATCTATTGGGAACATCTCCCTAGACACTCCCCTCTAAAACATAACGTCATTATTATACATCAACAAGTTGTGAGCTCATGTTCGAATCTCCAGAAATGACGTCATGATAGAACAATGTTTTTAATCGTGAAACAAACCACGCTTCGTTCTTCATTGTTCTTTGTGATTTTTCGCGTAACTATCTTATATTGTACGATAAACAACTCCCACTCGTCGTTTATTTCTTAAACTACGCTTCGTTCTTCCTTGCTCTTTGTGAGTAATCGTCGTAGCTATCTTATATAGAAAGACAAACTGTCAAGTAATATCAGATTTATTACATACAAGCTGTACACAGCTTTCAAACGTTACATCAATAAAAACAGCAATATCCTCACAGTCCACACCCATTTAACAACCAAGTTTTCGTTCCACAAGTATGTTGCTTGTTACGGTTTTCCTTTATCTTAAAAATCTCTATTTCAGCCAAAACTTCTCATTGTTTGGGGGCATGTGATATTTATACAACTTTAAACAAGTTTCATTAACCAAATCAATGTCATAGAGCCAGTCTGTCAAAGTAAGCTTGCTGCACCGGACACACAAGTCTTGTCACCTCTCACTGATGTGATTATATAAACATTTTAGGTACATATTTAGTACGCAAGCCAGCAAGAGTTACTCCCCTTATATCATGCAGCTGATGACAGCTAACCATGCGGGGTGGGACTGACAACGGTATGCCGAGAAATTGCATTCCATACTGTTACTTTGTCACTGTCACAGTCACTAGTTAACCCATAACAACATCAAAATTATGTCAATTGTACAAAGGTTATTTCTAAACATTTAAGTTTTAAGAAAAAGATTTCAATTGATGTTTGGACATAGACGTCTCTCCTGTACAGTTGGAAAACAACACAAACTTCAAACAACAGCTCAGACTCCATCACATTGAATTCAACTGATTCACAACTGGTCACACCATACATGCTGTGAGTCCTAGTATGTCAGTCAACTGATTCACAACTGGTCACACCATACATGCTGTGAGTCCTAGTATGTCAGTCAACTGATTCACAACTGGTCACATCTTACATGCTGTTAGTCCAAGTGTGTTGATCAACTGATTCACAACTGTCCACATTTGACATACATTATGCAATAATCTACTGCAGTTGTAAGATAAGAGTGACTGTAGGTGGCACAAATACTGTCCTTGTTAATTAGTACTAATTGGTTACAAAGATCAATCCATATTTATCTCAAAAACAGCACGGTTGGGGGGTGGGTGCCTCTAAAATTGAAAAAGAAACTTTTTCACAATGTTAATATTATATATGGTTACTTGACACACCCCAATTAGTTGACACATGGAATCTATCCCGGTATTATATATAGACAGACAGACAGACAGACAGATTTATTTGTATAAGGCCATTTGACCCATTGTACAAAATACATTTACATTTTATTTATCTAAGAGTTGCCTAATTTATACTTCTTTTTTGTGTGTGTGTTGAGAACACGTACATTAAAATTTTTGTAAAATTTATCATTGCATCGTTGTTGGATAGTTGACAGAGTCTTTCTAAACAAAAATAATTATGATTAACTGTCTTTGGGATATACATTTCCCGCTGATTTGCATAAAGAGGACAATTGTATATAACATGAAGTTCATCCTCAATAACATGACAGTGTTTTACATAAGACGGCATCCTCCTCAATATTAGCAACACCCCTACGTATAAGTTGAATACCAAGAGTATTCTGTCCACATCTAAATTTGGTTATTAGCCTTCTATATTCACAATGCTTAATATTTGATAAATATGTTTCACAAACAATATTAGATTTGTGCAGTTTATAGAATGAGAGGGTCTTGCTGCCTAGAGATGCATGCCAATCTTGAAACGAACAATCTTTAACTCTTTCGCTGAACATATGTACAAATAATTCTGCATTGCCAATGCCTTGTGCAGCCCATACATCCCCAAAACCATAATGACTTAGCAAAAGTCTGATATGCGATGCCCAGTTAGGACGTTTTCTATCAGCAATGGATAATAACATTTTATAATACTGGTATGGGTATCTGTTTTGACTCATTTGCAAAATCTTAAACCAATATTTAATGCATTTTACATAATAAATAGTATGAAGTGGATACCTACCACATTCACCATAGGCTACTGCATTTGCAGTTCTGTAGCCCGTGTGAAGTATTTTTTTTCAAAATTTGCGGTGAACAATTTCAATCGTATTCCAGTTTTTGTTAATATTATATATGGTTACTTGACACACCCCAATTAGCCATACTCTTGACACATGGAATCTATACCGGTATTATATATACAACACAACTCTCCCAACAACCAATGTAACGATTGGGTTTATTCCATACACTGCTGGTGGTAATACCCAATCAGCTTGCGGGCCAAGCCAGCCATGCCAATTGCGCTACACCTCCTCGTCAACATTTTTAAGATTTGTTTGGTTTCTAACAAATAAAGACCTTAAAATTTACATTTTGACAAGTTATTTTTCTTGGCCATCGTATTGTACATCATACTAGCTTCAACATGACAGCAGAAAAATATCACTATTTTTCATGATACTAGCACATTAAACAATGTGTTGATAGATTACACTATCTTGTAAATAAACTTCTTCATTATCAATGTTGACATACAGTTGGCAATTATCTTAGACATGGTGTCTGGTACTATGTTATGTGCGTGCTGTCTTGGGCGTGGTGCTGCCAGCAGCAGGTTGCCTAAGACCTGCCTGTGCCATGCTCTCCTTCCATAGCGGCTCCATGCTCCGAATCATTGACCAGTAGTTACTCTGCAACACCAAGCACAGAGAGCAAGTTTAGCATAACTCAAACAAATATAAATCTTATTTATTAAGATCAAAATACTGTCTGTACTGCCTATAGTGTATCTGTAGCAGTGGAGTGGGTAGCTAAAGTGCCTGTACCAGTGGAGTGGGTGACTTTAGTGTCTGTACCTGTGGAGTGGGTGACCATAGTGTATGTACCTGTGGAGTGGGTGACTATAGTGTCTGTACCTGTGGAGTGGGTAACTACAGTGTATGTACCTGTGGAGTGGGTGACTATGGTGTCTGTACCCGTGGTGTGGGTGGCTACAGAATCTGTACTTGTGGAGTAGGTGGCTATAGAATCTGTACCTGTGGAGTGGGTGGCTATAGTGTCTGTACTTGTGGAGTGGGTGGCTATAGTGCCTGTACATGTGGAATGGTTGGCTATAGTGTATGTATTTGTGGAGTGGGTGGCTATAGTGTATGTACTTGTGGAGTGGGTGGCTATAGTGCCTGTACATGTGGAGTGGGTGACTACAGTGTATGTACTTGTGGAGTGGGTTACTACAGTGTATGTACTTGTGAAGTGGGTGGCTATAGTGTCTGTACTTGTGAAGTGGGTAACTACAGTGTATGTACCTGTGGAGTGGGTGGCTATAGTGTCTGTACTTGTGGAGTGGGTGACTACAGTGTCTGTACTTGTGGAGTGGGTAACTACAGTGTATGTACTTGTGGAGTGGGTGACTACAGTGTATGTACTTGTGGAGGGGGTGACTATAGTGTCTGTACTGGTGAAGTGGGTAACTACAGTGTCTACTTGTGGAGGTGGTGACTACAGTGTATGTACTTGTGGAGTGGGTGGCTATAGTGTCTGTACTTGTGGAGTGGGTGATTACAGTGTATGTACTTGTGGAGTTGGTGGCTATAGTGTCTGTACTTGTGGAGTGGGTGACTACAGTGTCTGTACCTGGGGAGTGGGTTGCTATAGTGCATGTACCTGTGGAGTGGGTGACTTTAGTGTGTGTACCTGTGGAGTGAGTGACTATAGAGTCTGTACCTGTTGTGTGGCTGACTATAGAATCTGTACCTGTGGAGTGGTTGGGTATAGAATCTGTACCTCTGTCGTGGGTGGCTATAGTGTATGTACCTGTGGTGTGGGTGGCTATAGTGCCTGTACTTGTGAAGTGGGTAACTACAGTGTATGTACTTGTGGAGTGGGTGGCTATAGTGTCTGTACTTGTGGAGTGGGTGACTACAGTGTCTGTACTTGTGGAGTGGGTAACTACAGTTTATTACTTGCCTGTGAAGAGATCACCCGTTTAATAAACATACAGCTGTATTACACATTGTGTAATACCAAAACGCGTGCTTATGTACTTTTGGAACACGTTTCACGAACAAATATTGAAAACTCTCAACATCCCTTGGCTTATTCAACGACATTGCGTATGGAGTTGATAGATCACTGAGAGGAGCTTATGCACACTCGATGACCCCAGCAACCTTGTTGCTAGGCTGACGTCACATGGCATTGTTTCGCCGATGGATCTTGCAACAAAATTCCACAATTTACGTCATTGGGTATTGTGACGTGATTGTAAACTTTGAGGTGCAAGGCCCGTGCCACAAGGCGATCGTATTGTAGCGCAACGACAGTCGTTAGTCTCAGTTAAAGTATGTGATTTGCGATTAGACCTACGATAATTTTGTGGAACGGACGCCTGAATTTTAAAGGTGGACCGTTGGATGGTATTAAATTCATACGTTTCAACTTTTGACGTGTTTGAAGTATTGTTCTGTTAAACTCAATTTGAATATGCCGTGGATCGTGTAGGTGTCAGCCTATTCATACTCAACAGTATAATTCTAAAAACGTTATAAATGGCAAGTAATAAATAAAATACTAAACTCGCTTCCGTGTAAAACCAATTTTATGAAACTCGTGAATAGTTGTGTTATCTAACTCGCTTTCCCTCGTCAGATACCACAACTATTCACTCGTTTCATAAAATTGGTATTACACGGGAGCTCGTTTAGTATTCTATATGTATGTACTTGTGGAGTGGGTGACTACAGTGTATGTACTTGTGGAGTGGGTGACTATAGTGTCTGTACTGGTGAAGTGGGTAACTACAGTGTTTGTACTTGTGGAGTGGGTGACTACAGTGTATGTACTTGTGGAGTGGGTGGCTATAGTGTCTGTACTTGTGGAGTGGGTGATTACAGTGTATGTACTTGTGGAGTGGGTGACTACAGTGTCTGTACCTGGGGAGTGGGTTGCTATAGTGCATGTACCTGTGGAGTGGGTGACTTTAGTGTGTGTACCTGTGGAGTGAGTGACTATAGAGTCTGTACCTGTTGTGTGGCTGACTATAAAATCTGTACCCATGGAATGGTTGGGTATAGAATCTGTACCTCTGTTGTGGGTGGCTATAGTGTATGTACCCGTGGTGTGGTTGGCTACAGAATCTGTGCTTGTGGAGTGGGTGGCTATAGAATCTGTACCTGTAGAGTGGGTGGCTATAGTGTCTGTACCTAGGAAGTGAGTGACTATAGAGTCTGTACCTGTGGAGTTGGTGGCTATAGTATATGCACCTCTTTCGTGGGTGGCTATAGTGTATGTACCCGTGGTGTGGGTGGCTACAGAATCTGTACTTGTGGAGTGGGTGGCTATAGTGTCTATACCTGTGGAGTGGGTGGCTATAGTGTCTGTACCTCGGGAGTGAGTGACTATAGAGTCTGTACCTGTGGAGTGGGTGGCTATAGTGTATGTACTTGTGGAGTGGGTGACTACAAATTATGTACTTGTGGAGTGGGTGATTACAGTGTATGTACTTGTGGAGTCGGTGACTACAGTGTATGTACTTGTGGAGTGGGTGGCTACAGTGTCTCTACTTATGGAGCGGGTGACTACAGTGTCTCTACTTGTGGAGTGGGTGGCTACAGTGTCTGTACTTGTGGAGTGGGTGGCTATAGTGTCTGTACTTGTGGAGTGGTTGACTACAGAATCTGTACTTGTGGAGTGGGTGACTACAGTGTATGTACTTATGGAGTGGTAGGCTATAGTGTATGTACTTGTGGAATGGTTGGCTATAGTGTCTGTACTTGTGGAGTGGGTGGCTATAGTGTATCTACTTATGGAGTTTGTGACTATAGTGTATGTACTTGTGGAGTGAGTGACTATAGTGTATGTACTTGTGGAGTGGGTGGCTATAGTGTATGTACCCGTGGAGTGAGTGACTACAGTGTATGTACTTGTGGAGTGGGTAACTACAGTGTATGTACTTGTGGAATGGTTGGCTATAGTGTATGTACCCGTGGAGTGGGTGACTATAGTGTATGTACCCGTGGAGTGAGTGACTATACTGTATGTACTTGTGGAGTGGGTAACTATAGTGTATGTACCCGTGGAGTGAGTGACTATAGTGTATGTACTTGTGGAGTGGGTAACTACAGTGTATGTACTTGTGGAATGGTTGGCTATAGTGTATGTACTTGTGGAGTGAGTGACTACAGTGTATGTACTTGTGGAGTGGGTGGCTATAGTGTATGTACTTATGGAGTGGGTGACTACAGTGTATGTACTTGTGGAGTGAGTGACTATAGTGTATGTACTTATGGAGTGGGTAACTACAGTGTATGTACTTGTGGAATGGTTGGCTATAGTGTATGTACTTGTGGAGTGGGTGGCTATAGTGTATGTACTTGTGGAGTGGGTAACTACAGTGTATGTACTTGTGGAGTGAGTGACTATAGTGTATGTACTTGTGGAGTGGGTGACTATAGTGTATGTACTTGTGGAGTGGGTGACTATAGTGTATGTACTTGTGGAGTGGGTAACTACAGTGTATGTACTTGTGGAGTGAGTGACTATAGTGTATGTACCCGTGGAGTGGGTGGCTATAGTGTATGTACTTGTGGAATGGGTGACTATAGTGTATGTACTTGTGGAATGGGTGACTATAGTGTATGTACTTGTGGAGTGGGTGACTATAGTGTATGTACTTGTGGAGTGGATGACTATAGTGTATGTACTTGTGGAGTGGGTGACTACAGTGTATGTACTTATGGAGTGAGTGACTATAGTGTATGTACTTGTGGAGTGGTAGGCTATAGTGTATGTACCCGTGGAGTGAGTGACTATAGTGTATGTACTTGTGGAGTGGGTGACTATAGTGTATGTACTTGTGGAGTGGGTGACTATAGTGTATGTACTTGTGGAGTGGGTGACTATAGTGTATGTACTTGTGGAGTGGGTGACTATAGTGTATGTACTTGTGGAGTGGGTAACTACAGTGTATGTACTTGTGGAGTGGGTGACTATAGTGTATGTACCCGTGGAGTGAGTGACTATAGTGTATGTACTTGTGGAGTGGGTAACTACAGTGTATGTACTTGTGGAATGGGTGACTACAACGCTACTGTAAACTGAGAAATGTGTATAAAAGCTTTTGTAGAAAGTTCAAATATGATCTTAAATTGTCACGGCTAGTCCGACTAAACAGCACTTTACACAGTCCGAAATTATTTTGGAATACTATACGTTCTCTTCAGAGACATCCTACCCCCAAAGGATCTATATCCCAAACAGAATGGTTACATCATTTCAAGAAGTTATTCTCAAAAGATGATTCGATATATTTGGTAGACAATGAGTGCTTTGAACGTGATGATGATGGCGTCAGTGAAATTCTTACTGAAGTTGACATGCTTCTGTTGGAATCGCCTATCACGGAAACGGAAATATTTAATGCTATATCTCACCTTAAAACAGGTAAATCTGCTGGGATTGATTGTGTTATAGCTGAAATGCTCAAGTACTCACTACCTGATACTATGCCTTTTCTGGTTAAATGTTTCAATCGGATTTTTGATACAGGTATTTTTCCTTCTATCTGGTCAAAATCTATTATTATTCCGTTATTCAAGAATGGAAACGTAAACAATCCTGACAATTATCGGGGTATATCTCTCACGAGTATCCTTAGTAAAGCATTTACATCTATCATCAATAATAGATTAAC